CAGGCACTGGTGCCAGAAGAAAATAGCATATAGAACTTTATACAGGTGAGGAGAGCAGAAGCCAGATATTCCCATAAAGATTAATTAGACCTTTTCCTAACTAGCTTCAAGGAATCATAACATGATGTTTCTTATTAAAGAATCCTTGATGATGAGCTGATAACGATGAAAGCTATTCTTCCTATAATGTGTCTTATAATGGATAATTCCTAGCACGCAAAAAAGGAATATTAGCAAAAGTTCCAGATGAGTAATAGGGAGCTTATTGGAAATATGGTATATTCGTATTAGGAAATGGGGTGATAAAAATGAAATATGCATCGATTTAAGTAAATGCTCTCAATGACAATGGTTCCTTCCCATAGAGGCCATGAGACTGTTGATATACTTCACATCTTTTGGATATATGCCTAAGAGTGGAGTTCCTGGGTCTGTAGTAGGTGTGTTCCCATTTTTCTGAGGAATCTCCATTCTGATTTCCAAAGTGGCTGTACAAGTTGGCAATCCCACCAGCAGTGGAGGAGAATTCCCCTTTCACCACAACCTCTCCAGCATAAATTGTCGTAGGTGTTTTTGATTTTAGACCTTATGACAGGAGTAAGATGGTATCTCAGAATTGTTTTTATTTGCATTTCCCGGATGTCTAAGGATGTTGAGCACTTTCTCAAGTGCCTCTCAGCCATTTTAGACTCTTCTATCGGGAATTCTCCATTTAGTTCTGTAGCCCACTTTTTAATTGTATCCTATGATGTTTTTGGAGATTTGATTCTTGTATTCTTTGTAAATTTTGGAGATCAGCCCTCTGTAAGATGTGGGGTTAGTGAATATCATTTTCCATTCTGTGGGCTGCCTTTTTGTCTTGCTGACTATGTCCTTTGCCTTGCAGAAGCTTCTCAGTTTCACGAGGTCCCATTAATTAATTGTTGTTGTCTGTACTACTGGTGTTATGTTCAGGAAGCTGTCTCCTATACCAATTCGTCCAAGGGTACCACCCACTTTCTCTTCTAAGAGGTTCAGTGTGGCTAGATTTATGTTGAGGTCTTTGATCCATTTGGACTTAAGTTTTGTGCATGGCTCTATCCGCATGGGTCTATCCGAATTCTTCTATATCCAGTTATGCCAGCACCATTTGTTGAAGATGCTTTCTTTTTTCCATTGTATATTTTTAGCTTCTTTGTTAAAGATCAGGTATTCATACACGTATGGGTTAATATCTGGGTGTTCAATTCGATTCCATTGCTCTACCTGTCTATTTTTTTGTGCCAATACTATAATAGAGCTTGAGGTTGGGGATGGTGATGTCTCCAGACGTTGCTTTTTGTGTAAGGTTGTATTGCCTATCCTGGGTCTTTTGTTTTTCCATACAAAATTGATGTTTCCTTCAATGTCTATGAATAATTGTGCTTGTATTTTAATGGGGATTGCATTGAATCTGTAGATTGCTTTTGGCAGAATTGCCATTTTTTTACATTGATCCTACCTATCCAAGAGCATGGGAGATCTTTACATTTTCTGACGGCTTTTTTAATTTCTTTCTTTAAAGACTCAAAGTTCTTGTGATACAAGTCTTTCACTTGTTTGGTTAGCATTACCCCAAGGTAGTTTATGTTGTTTGTGGCAATTGTAAAGGGTGATGTTTCCCTGATTTCTTTCTCAGCCCTTTTATCATCTGTATATAGTAGGGCTACTGATTTTCTTGAGTTGATCTTGTAGCCTGCCACTTTGCTGAAGGTGTTAATCAGCTGTAAGAGTTCCCTGGTAGAATTCTTTGCGTCATTTATGTAAAATATCATATCATCTGCTAATAGTGAAATTTTGACCTCTTCCTTTCCAATTTGTATCCCCTTGATCTCCTTTTGTTGTCGTATGGCTGTGGCTAGAACATCAAGTACAATATTGAAAAGGTATGGAGAGAGTGGACAGCCTTGTCTTGTTCCTGATTTTAGCAGAAACGTGTTGACTTTCTCTCCATTTAGTTTGATGTTGGCTGTTGGTTTGCTCTATACAGCTTTTATTATGTTTAAGTATGTTCCTGTTATCCCAGATTTCTCCAAGACCTTTATCATGAAAGGGTGTTGGATTTTGTCAAAGGCATTTTCTGCATCTAGTGAGATGATCATGTGATTTTTGTTTTTCAGCTTGTTTATATGGTGGATTACATTGAACGATTTTCGTATGTTGAAACATCCCTGGGATGAAACCTACTTGATCTTGGTGAATGATTGTTTTGATGTGTTTATGGATCTGATTTGCCAGTATTTTATTGAGTATTTTGCATCAGTGTTCATGAGGTATATTGTTGTGAAGCTCTCTTTCTTAGTTGTGTCTTTGTGTGGCTTGGGTATCAAGGTAAAATCTAAAGTGACTTACTACTAACAGAGTTACTATTTCCAAACACTTTTACAATTGCAGTTGACATAGTGTGTGCCAGAGGTTATCTATCTAAATGAATAGTCCAGAAATTTTAGATATTTATCTCTTCAATAGGATATTCCAATCTTAGTACTTATTTATGTAGTTGGCTCTTTTTTTGTTTTGTTTTTAAGAGACAGGGTTTCTCAGAATTGTTTTGGAGGCTGTCGGTCCAGCCTGGCCTCGAACTCACAGAGATCTGCCTGCCTCTGTATGCTGAGTGCTGTAATTAAAGGCATGTGGGCTCTTCTTAATTATAAAATTTTCCATAAATGATATACTCAGTTTAAAAAAAAGGGAAAACAAATTGAGTGTGAGGTCAGTGTTTCATGTGAATGTTGCTAACCCAGGTAGAGGCCAAATTAAAGATTACAGGTACAGAGAATATCTACAGATATTAGAAGAAAATTCAGTCAGTATACGCAGCCATCATGTGCTATCTGCAGATAGTAGACTTTGGGTTGAGGGTCGATCCGAACTCATTATGGCAAAAAACATTAAAATAATTCAGAAGTATCATGTGAGAGAATTAAATATAGGGAGTAGTAATGTTTTTGTACTTCACTTTATTGGTAGTGTGAAATATCTACCCTAAATCCTCCCTCCAACTCCACAAATGACAAACCAGTAAATACATGAAGGACAAGTTTAAGGACAAAGAAGATAGGCACCGAAGTCAGCTCTGAAATCTGCTTTTTTTTATAACTGAGGCTGTTGATAAAGATGTAAAGGATTGGTGTTTCTCTGGATTAAATTTAAATGGAGAAGATAATTATGAAATAAGCAGCACAGGAGAAAGGTTTTAATTTTAAGCAGCAATCTGAGTATAATTCTGGCAATTTGTTCCATTTTTCTGGACTTCAGTTTCTCTCTAACTGGGAAATACTTGAGGTCCATTATTTCAGAGAAAATCACACTGAGCTTCCTGTCTTCCAACACTGTAGCATTTCTGAATTTCTGAATTATTACATGTCTGTCTTTTTGCAATAAACCAGGGTCATAGAAAAAATATCTTACAACTTGGTCACTTGCTCTGTGAAAGAGTCCTGTGTTGAGAATAGTTATGTTTATGGACCTGATTAAACAATATATGGATATCTGCTATATGACCACTGTAATCAGTCTATGATCTAGACAAGTCCTATTGTTCTGTCTAATTAGGAAATTTACTTTTGGATATGCACACGCCATAGTTGGTCAGATACCCCCTTTCCCCTTGTCTCTTAAGCATCCTCAAAATTCTGGATTTTATTTATTTTTTATTAAAATTTTTATTTTTGAATTTACATTCAAATTAGAAACAAGGTTTCTTCACATGTCATTCTCACATCCCTTTCCCTCCCCTCCTCCCACCCCCTCCCACTCACCCTCCCACTCACCCACCTTTCCCCAGGGAGGGTGAGTTCTTCCATGGGGTGTCCATAGTCTGTCATTTCATCCAGGACAGGGCCTAGACCCTCCCCCAAGAGTCCAGGGTGAGAGTGCATCTCTCATTGTGGGATGGGCACCCAATGTCCATTTGTATGCCAGGAATAAATACTGGTCAACTACCAAAGGCCCCCTAGATTGCCTAGGCCTGGGAATCCAGCATGAGGCTGATCAAGATCCCCTTAATGGGGGTGTCAGTGAGGAGGCCTAGGCAATCTGGATTTTATTTTAAAGTGAGTTTTAAAACTCTCTCTAAACTACACATAGTCTTCTGGTCATTAGTTTCAATTCCTATGATGATCTACAGTTGTATCTACATCCTACAGACAAGATAACTTCACTCTTTGTGACTAATGAACCTGCACTGTGCACAGACTTTGTATTTTCTTCAGCCATTCGTTTACCATTGCTGATGGAGTGGGCTGCAGTTGTGAGCATGCTGTGACAAACATGGACATGCAGGTGTCTCCCATGGAAACCGTCCTTGGTTTGTGGGTGTGGGGCAGCCGCTGGGGACAGATCAACCCCACCTGTCCAATACAAGGCATGCCACCAGGACAGCCTGGGAGAGTGTGCAGTGGCCAGGCAGGTGTACCTTCCACCTGGCAGCTCTACAAAGGCTGCAGGGAATGGAACAGGGCAAGGCTAGTTACACAGGGCTACAGGATGGTGGTGAGGTTCTGAGACCTGGCTAGGGATCTTCCCCGGGCTACTGCGTCAGGCCCCGCCCACAAACAAGCCACGCCCTTACATCGATAGAAGCAAACCCCCGCCCTGCGGCAAGACCTGCCCTGCAACAGCACCAGTCCCACCACCCAACAGCGAGTCTCCAAAATTCTGTCCAACTGCCAAACCCCATCCCTGTATGGCCTCTGAGAAACCCCGCCCTACCCGATATAAAACCAAGCGCCGCCTCCCAGGAGAACTTGATGCACCACATCAGATGGCAATCCCCATTTATCTGGTCAAGCATCAAGCCCGTCCCTTGTTGCAAATCCCACACGATAGGACCTAACATCAACCCAAGCCAGGGCTTCTCCCACCCACTTAGCTGTCAGTCCCTCCCTCCAAAAGAGCTGAGCCCAGCCCTCGACACTCGAGGCTCCACCCTCGGGGCGGGGCTTATTTCACACACACTGCGGCTGCGTGGTTACCAGGTCTCTGCCCAGCCCAGGAGCTCTGCACATGCGTACTTATGTGTGGGCAGGTAACTGGAAAAGAAGGTTGGGAGTGAAGGAACTCTGGCCTCAGAGGCTCTGAAACCTGGGTTTCAGTGCGCTGCCAGCTGCCTCGTCTGCTTCTCAGAGAGTCAGTGCTATCTCACTGAGCCAGCAGGAGGAGAAAATCGCCACGTATTCCCAACCCAGAGGAAGAAGATCGCGACTCGCGTTTCCCTTGTGGGACAGGATAAAGTCCACCCAGGGACACTTCAGTGAAGTGCAGCTCAGCTTTTCATAACCGTGAGACTCCCCTGCATCCTGGTTAGTATTAGATTTAGAAACGCTGGGGCGCCATGCACGGTGGCACACACCTGTAGTCCCAGATACTTGGGATGCTGAGACAGGTGGATCGCTTGAGTCCAGGAGTTCTGGGTTGGACTGTACCAAGGCTTTGCGGTTATTCTTACAGTCTGTATTTTCAAGTCAGCTGTTTGCCCTCAAGCACAGTACTTGCCTTCTGTCCTTTAGATGGGAGAATCGCCAGGAATCTATAGGTTCTGTCTGGAAGGCTGTGTAAAGCAGGGCCATTTCCTTTTCTCCTTTTCTTTCTCTTCTTCCCTGCCTTTCTCTTTCTTCCTATCCGTTTCTATTTCCCTCCCCTCTATTGGATTATCCTCAAACCCATTATGTTTAAGTGAACAATGATTCCAATTACTTTGGTAAACTCACAGAAAATATTATTTGAAGTAACTCTGTTTCAAAACAGTAAAAATGCTTTTCATATTTCCATTTCTATAGACGTGTGAGAATTTATCCCCACATTATTGACTTGCAATTTTTTTGTTTTTCCATTTTCAGGAATTTTCACATTTCGTCAATTTCAGATTTTGATAAATTTCATGGGACTACAAAGTACAATTGGCACAAATTCATCTCATGTGTAAGGTTACTAATCTCCACGAACTTCATGTTTGCTTCAACTTCACCAACCTGCTATTTCTTCCTAACTACTCATCTTTGACTCCCTATTCTTAGAGAATTCACATTAGAAGTCTTTAAATGTTAAATTCTCCTCTGCATCTTTAAGTTGTTCTCCTCCTTGCCTCTTAGCACTTCTGTGGCACAGAACTGTATCAAGGACCAGAGTGTCATGTGTGAATTACAACACTCAGAAATGACTATCACCAGAAGTTCCCCATCTTTAGAGTGACTGACTTCTCTAACTGCTCCAAAGTCAGCAGAGGCAGATGCAGGTGGTCCAAGGGCGTGGTACATCCTGTATCCTGAAATCTTCCAGCTCCTTTGCCCCGGACACTGTCAAGGGGAATCTTGGATGCCACCTTCACACCCAGTTAAGAACCCTGGGCCTGTCTGGGACTTTTTCTTGGTTCACAATTGATACAGGAGGGCCTGCCCACTGTGGGTGGTACTGTCATCCCTAGGCAGCAGTGCCTGGGTTGGGCAAGGAAAGTAGCTGAGCTTCAGCCAGGGAGCAAGCCAGTAAGCAGTGTTCCTCCCTGGTTTCTGTTTCAAGCTCTGCCCTTGAACTGCTTCCTTGGCTTCCCTGGATGGTGAACCACAAGCTGTTGTATAAAGTAAGCCTTTTCTTCCCCATGTTGGTTCTAGTTAGGGTTTTATCACAGCAATAGAAAGCAATTCCAAGGTGTGTATTTGCTCCAAGCGTTTATTCAGTGCACTTAAGTTCTGTCTCCTTCCTAATACTTCCTTAATTGGTTATTCGATTACAATTTTCTTTATATCAGTTTCACACTGTATTTGTTATCATTGAAACATTTATTACATATATATTAAGAGAAACTATTCTCAATGCAAAATAATTCTATTTCCAAACTTTTCCTTCATGAGATGACTTGTACACAGGAGTATTATTCTATGACAGTTTTGTGGTATCAAACTTGGGGAAGATTTCTGTGAAGAGGATGTGCTTGTTATCTGGGAAAATAATGATGCATGAGGGTGGAAGCTGTGCAGGTTGGCTAGTAGCTTGTTAACCAACACGGGGCATTGCATAGCTGTGACACAAGCACATAGTGTGCCTAGTGTTCTGGTTGACACAATTGTTTCTTCCTGAAACCTTTTATGAGCTTCTTCCTCATAGAGACTTTGGTGGTACGAACTCTCACTACTCAATCTTAAGCAATGTTCTTACCAACTAGTCGATAGGCTTCTGGTATACAAGTAGTGCTCATGGGCATTAAAGCAGACTGTTCCCTGAAGCTGTCTCTGGAGAGCTTCATCTGCAGGCCCTTTACTGACCCACAGGCATTACAGTCTGCGGTGAGAGTGCCCAAGAAATGAATGCAATGATACTTTTTAGGGAAGGAAGGCTGTAGATGGTATTCTATTGTAGCGATTGCAAGGACACTCTAGTTTTATTATTCAATGACTATATGTCATATGTCAACCAGAGGCAGATATCATTTCTCATATTCCAGTTTTCTTCATGTGAATCTGAGGAATGAGAATATAGGAAATGCTCATGAGTTGTTTTTTTTTTACTATAATTTCAAAGGTTTTTTTTCAGACATGTTTTGTGCATGGCACTGTATGAATGTGTTGTCTATTGAGCATCATAGATAAATTTTCTCAGGACTCTATCTGTAAACAGATGCTAGCTGATAAAAGAAGTATTTACATTCATGCTCTATCACTGACTCTATGCACCAACACATACCCTGAACTCAGAAAAAAACAATGGTGTCACATGTTTGACTTCACTAAACTCTGCTTCCCCCTCTAAAGCTGAGTGTCTTGGCTTTAATGACTTGCATGCAGTAGATAAAATGCTTTAGTATGTTCCATGGCCAGCCTTTTCCTGGAAACTCCCTGCTGGAATGAAGTGTGGGTTCACTCATGACACCTGGGCAAGTGGTCATCATTCCTCACAGTTCAACTCTCACATTGCACTGTGTCCTAGGGACAGAGTACAAGAACAGCCAGAGTCAGGCTTTCATAGCCCTTCTCAGGGAGACAGAAAACTCTTGGTGAGCTGGACACAGAGAATGGGACAATTCCATTTTCCTGTGTATTCTTGTTAAGCTAATTATTCTAGAGATTGACAACAAATAAAATAAGTTTTGCAGCATTTTAATGTGTTTGTTAGGACCAACTTGTAATATATTATAGATTTATTTTAATCAAATATTTTATAATAATATTTCAGAGACATTCTAGTTATAATGTTATAAAAGGAATTGGGCAAGAATTGATTTGAAAAGTAAAAATTGAATTGTGCTCATTAGTATTAAATTAGCTTATTGTCTGCAATTATTTTAAAAATATTTTATAGGACAGATTATTATTTTGACATTGATAAGTATAAGCAGGACGAAGTAAACATATTTAAAGTATCTATAAAGTGAGCAAAGTAGAATACAGATATATCGTGAGGTGTCAGCATGGCTGTTGGTTTGACATTTGACCCAGTTTACTTGGAAAGGGGAGCCACAATAACTGTTCATGAAGAAAAAAAAGGTACTTTCCTCCTGTCTCATCAATGAACTAAGTAAAGAATTCTTGCCAACAGAAATAAGACAAAGCCATTTGTAGCAAACACTGCAACGATTATTTTGCAACATGGCACTCTGTTTTTTTCTATCCTGATATAAAGTATTTTGTTGACAAACTGACCATAAATATAGTGCAGCGAAAAAAGTAGCTGATGTGTTTGAGTAGTGAAGGTTCCAGGAGCCACTGTGACTAGAGCCTCCTCCATGAGCCTGTCGCTTGTGTGTTATTGCAGGGAAAAGGAAATCTATCACATGATTACTCTTTGTTTGTGGAAGGAATTTTCAGTTTACTGAGGCTTTAGTCTTACACGAGCAGTACAAAGACATTGCAGAGAACTTTTCAGATGCCATGAGTGACTTCCCACTGTCAACTCAGTATTTTGGGCTGAAGATGTCACACAGAATGAGTCAATCTTACACACGATTTTGAAAGGAAATCCACATTTCACTCACATTAGCTTTTACACAATGTCCCTTTCCTTTTACAGATGAAAGTGTGAATGCAGCCTTCACGATCACAAACAGTGTGCTTGAGTTTACCTCATCAGTGGAAACTGCAGAAGTGAGCACTTCAGAGAGTGGAGGATGAGCCTCTCCATGGGAAAGCCACTTTGTAATGACACTGGTTCCCTGCAAGGTGAGAATGCAAGGTCCTCTCTGATAGTTCTTAGGACCACCCCCAGAAATCTCCATGACACGTTGTCCTCATGTAATTGCCCAAGCTGTGAACATACTTCTCAGAACACTGAGAATGATATTTTAAACCACTCTAATGTGTGCTGGGGCAGCATGATTCTCCTCCCTGATTCTCAGGTTGTTCTGGATTTGTAGTGCACAAAGAGGACATTGTAGGCTTCCCAGATTTCATGAGTATGTGGTCAGTACTTTAAATAACATTCAATGGCCATTATGAAAACTAAATATGTGTGCTTACGTTTAAGTGTATGTGATGTGTATGTCAATGTAGGAGCATGTATCTGTCTATATAAGTGTGTATTCATGTGTGTGTGATGTGTATGTTAATGTGTTCTTGTATGTGCTTTTGTGTGTCTGTATGAGTGTATGTGATCATTTGTTTTTTTTTCAGTTTAAATTTAGGTAAGAAACAAGGTTGCTTCACAAGTCAGTTCCAGGTCCCTCTCCCTTTCCCTCCCCTCCTCCCGTGCCCACCCCCAAACCCCCCACTATCCCCTCATTTCCCCAGGGAGGGTGAGGCCCTCCATGGGGGTGTCCATAGTCTGTCATTTCATATAGGGCAGGGCCTAGACCCTTCCCCAAGAGTTCAGGGTGAGAGGGCACCTCACATTGTTGGATGGGAGTCCAAAGTCCTTATGTATACTCGGGATGGGTACTGATATGCTGCCCAAGGATCAATAGATTACCTAGGCCTCCTCACTGACACTCACATTCAGGGGGTCTTGATCAGTCCCATGCTGGATTCCCAGGCTGATGCCTGGGATTCAAGAGTTAACCTTTGTCAGGTCAGTTGTTTCTGGGGGTTAAACCAGCCCAGTCTTAATCCCTTTGGTCATCAGTCTTCCCTCTCTGTTACTGGCTTTCTTGAGTTCAGCTCAGTACTTAACCGAGGGAGTCTGCCTCTTCTTCGATCAGCCACTAAATGAAGTTTCTGTTTCCCAGACTCTTTGGCCATGGGATTGTAGGCTGGCACTCCCCAGATCTATGTCTAAAGTCCATATATGAGAGAGTACATGCCATGTTTCTCTTTTTGTGACTGGGTTACCTCACTCAGGATGGTTTCTTCTAATATCATCCATTTGCCTACGAATCTCAGGATTCCATTGTCTTTTTCTGCTGAATAGTACTCCATTGTGTAAATGTACCACATTTTCTCTACCCACTCTTCGGTTGAGGGACATCTAGGTTGCTTCCAAGTTCTGGCTATTACAGATAAAGCGGCTATGAACATAGTGGAATAGACATCTTTGTTGTATGAATGGGCATCTTTTGTATATATGCCTAAGAGTGGAGTTGCTGGGTCTTGTGGTAGGTGTATTCCCATTTTTCTGAGGAATCTCCATACTGATTTCCAAAGTGGCTGAACAAGTTGGCACTCCCACCAGCAATGGAGGAGTGTCCCCCTTTCACCACATCCTCTCCAGCATAAATTGTCATTGGTGTTTTTGATTTTAGCCATTCTGACTGGAGTGAGATGGCATCTCAGAGTTGTTTTGATTTGCATTTCCCGGATGGCTAAGGATGTTGAGCACTTTCTCAAGTGCTTCTCAGCCATTTTAGACTCCTCTATTGAAAACTCTCTATTTAGTTCTGCAGCCCACTTTTTAATTGGGTCCTTTGATGTTTTGGAGACTTGCTTCTTGAGTTCTTTATAAACTTTGGAGATCAACCCTCTGTCAGATGTGGCATTAGTGAATATTTTTTCCCATTCTGTTGGCTGCCTTTTTATCTTGCTGACTGTATCCTTTGCCTTACAGAAGCTTCTCAGTTTCTGGAGGTCCCATTTATTAATTGTTGATCTAACTGTCTGTGCAAGTGGTGTTATGTTCAAGAAGCTGTCTCCTGTACCAATTCGTTCAAAGGTACCACCCACTTTCTCTTCTAAGAGTTTCAGTGTGGCTGGATTTATGTTGAGGTCTTTGATCCATTTGGACTTAAGTTTTGTACATGACTCTATCTGCAGGGGTCTATCCACATTCTTGTACATGCCAGCCTCCAGTTATGCCAGCACCATTTGTTACATTTGTTAAAGATGCTTTCTTTATTCCATTGTATATTTTTAGTTTCTTTGTCAAAGGTCAGATGTTCATATGTGTGTGGGTTAATATCCGGGTTTTCAATTCGATTCCATTGGTCTACCTGTCTATTTTTGTGCAAATACCAAGCTGATTAACAATTGATACAGGAGGTCCTGCCCACTGTGGGTGGTACTGTCATCCCTAGGCAGCAGTGCCTAGGTTCTGCAAGAAATGTGTTCTTGGATGTGCTTTTGTGTGTCTCTATGAGTGTATGTGATCATGTGTTTTAATGCAAATGTACAAATCTTCCTGCCTGTGCATACATGTTTGTGTGTCCATGTTTGTGGGTATGTGCACATAATCATATGTGCATCACTTTGTGTTTTTGTGAGAATGTGCTTGCTGTGTTTTAATTGTGTTTATATGTTTAGACATATATCATTTGATATATACATATATGTGTGTGTTTGCACATGTATGTGTGTTCCTCTTGACTGAAATACCACTAAGACTACAATGAGTTTCTGACTTTTCTAGAATAATCTTGCACTCACAGTCTTGTCTTGGGTGATTCACTTTTTATTTCCTGGAGGATTTTTATTGTATTGGGTGTACATTCTTCACAGACAAGAATATTTGAGTTTTGTGTGTTCTTTCCCTTATCTATATATTATAGTACTTTTTTTCCTGGGTTTCTATTTCAGCTCTAACAGAACAGGAAGGAGTGGTCAGGGAGGATGTTCTTTCCTTGGTCACACTGAAGCATGCCATTGATCACAGGTGTTCATAAATCAAATTCTCCTTTCAAGGAAGCTATGAGTTTTACTTGGAGTGCGTGTTGAGTTCCATCAAGTACCTTCTGGATCAGTTCATAAGATCTTCAGTCCTTTTTCTGCTTCCTTAAGGCCGTGGTGTAGACTTTGCCCCTCTCATGGCCTTGTGTTGCAGGAGGAACAGCTTATGTTTTCTCTTTCCTCTTCCAGAACCCAGAGCATCCTTCAGATCCTCACTGTGAGAACCATCCAGGAGTGCTGAGCTTGATGGGATGAGATCAGCAATACAGCAGCAATTCCAGAACAGCCTCCTGTGGTTTTCTGGTCCAGGTTGCTTCGACTCCAGGTAAGCAGATTGGTGTGATTGGTGTTGTATCTATATGTCTCTGTATCCAGAAGTAATTCACTATATGATCACAGGATTTATCCTGTCTTAGAGAAAGCCCTTCACAGGATTTTCTGGATACTAATGTAAAACTAATTTAAGCTTCACGCAACTTGAAATTGAAGCAAGTATCCCACTCTAAGGTCCTATACACTATTTTGCCATAGTGGGACTACAAGTGCCTTCATATCATGGGTTCTTTAGGAGAACACATTGTTGCCAGAAATAAAATAGGAGATACACCTTTCACATGGAAACATGAAAATTATTGGGTGTAAAAACATACTTATGGCTGATATTGAAAACATAAAATTCATTAAATACATTTTATGGTAAATATATAAATTCAAAACAAACTTATAAAAGCCAGATACTTCCACAGAACAAAATCCATTTCATTTCTTCTTTTTATTGAGTTTTAAATTTAAATAAAAATAATCTTATTTTACATACCAATCCCAGTTCCCTCTTCTTCCCAACTTCCCATTCCTCACAACATCTCCCCATCCATTCCTTAGAAGGGGGAGGCCTCACATAGGGATTCATCAAAGTCTGTCACATCATTTTCTGCAGGACCTTGGCCCTCTGCCATGTATCTAGACTGAGAGAGTATTCTACCACAGGGAATGGGCTCCAAAAAGCCTGTTCGTGCACTAGGGATAAATACTGGTTCCACTGCCAGCGGCACCATAGACTGCCCAAGACTCCAAATGACACCCACCTTCAGGGGACCTACTTCAGTCTTATGCAGTTTCCCCAGCTATTCTCCTGCAGTCTGTGAACTCTCAGTTGCTCAGAGCTGCTGTTTCAGTAGATTCCCCCCCACCCATGGTCTTGACCTGTTTGCTCATCCTGCCTCCCTCTCTACAACTGGATTTCAGGAGTTCAGCTCATTGCTTAGCTGTGAATCTCTGCTCTTGCTTCTATCAATTACTGGATGAAGGCTCTATGATGACATTTAAGGTAGTCATCAATGTCATTACAGGGGAAGGGCATTTAAGGTAGCCTCTCCACTATTGCTTAATTTCTTATTTGGGGTCATCCTTGTGGAATTCTGGGAGTTTCCCTAATGCCAGTTTTCTCATTATCAGGAAGGGCAAGTTGGGGAAAGAACAGATGCCTTTCACTTTCATTTTTATCATGCACAGATGCTTTATAGTAAAATGTGTCACTGAAGAGAAGGGGACTACTGATCTGAATGGAAAAGAGCAATGGATTGAAACATCAGTTCCACAGAATCCATGCAGCCTGATAAGGAACACGAGAGGGAGCTCTGTCAGGTGGATCTCAGGGTCCCCAGTGGTTCGTGCATCGCAGTGACTTGTGGGAAGGACCGTGTAAGGCCCCTGTCAGAGTCAGGTTCAAGGTTTCCAGCACTTAGGTCTTTATCAGGCCCTATGTGTGAAGGTGGTGCACTGAGCAAAGGTTTTGTTGTCACTGGTAGAATTCTTAGTCTCAGGTTTTCACTCTACACTGGACTCAATTCCTGTTTAGTCCCTTCTCTCCATGCCTGGACTAAGATGCATAGCTTTGTCCTCCGCAATTGGGAAGGACTATGCTGAATCTAATCCCACAGAGCCTGTGGAATCTGGTGTCCTTTCTTACTGCTACAGTGCCAATTGCTGTCTTTAGCATCTCCACTCTCATTGGCTTGTCCCTGTTGACATTTTCCAGCTGTGGCTGCTCTCTCTACACCCTGGGCCCAGGTATAAGAGGAAGTGTTGAGAGTCTGTCCTCCAGAAGGTAGCCTTCCTGCTTATCCATTGTTGTCTCATGGATTGATAGTTACAGAAGACCAGGTAATTAACTTTATCATAACATATCATTGCACATTCACACACGTCTCTCAGTGGATATAAAATTTACTCTGTGTGTACATACGAGTTCACAGTAATGTGCATATGAGTGCATGTGAGGAGCTCAGAGGACAAGCATCAGGAGACTGTTCTCTCCTTTACCCATATGGGATGTGTGGATGAAGCCTGGAATGGACATCCTGCTATCCAAAATGCTATTGACGTGAGTCATTGAGGGTCTGTTAAGTTGTGTGAATAGTTACACTCTGAAATTTTAGTTCTGGAGCACAAAGCATTACCAAGCTTTGCTCCCTCAAAGGTGATTCTGAATCAACAGGTTTCAGTCTATGGATCAATCCATCCCACACATGTGGTGGCTAATGTTGCAATTAATTAGAAGCTACATTATATAGTCTGTTTCAGTGAGTGATGCCCTGCACTGTGTCACACTCTGTAAAGATAGACCACAGCACTGGATGTGGCTCTAACTGAAATGACTTGTCCCACACTAAGCTCTGTGCACAACTCATCCTTAGCTTCCTGACTCTGCATCCTCACTACCTCTACCTCATCTCTTCCTCAAACATGTAGAAAGTTCTAAGTTTATTCTTCTGTCTTACTGGTCAGGCTCAAGGTCTGCACTTGGACTTTTCTTAGAAGGAAACAACCCAGGACGCTGAAGTTATCCTTTGACTTAATAGATGGAGGGAGTTCTATCACATGCCCCACTAAATACTTCACTATATCTACTGCATAGATACCCATGTTAGGATTTGAAATTGAAAGCAGTATCTGATTACTCTGTAAACCAGGTTTCAACCATGCAATCCATTTTGCAACATAATGTAACTCAGTAAATGAGAATTAAGATTTGTAGACATAAAATGGCTTGGTGGAACAGTAGAAGTTAACACCTAAGAAAAAGTTTAGATCAACTATGATTTAAACCTAGGCACAGATTTATTAAATATGATGTTTTGGAATATAAGATTATTATGACTGAATGGAAACTTAGTAATTACTAAAGAAGCAGACCTGAAACTGATTATGTCCATGATATGTTAATTAGGCAAACACCAACCTAAATTTTTTTCTTTTTATTGATTTATTTATTTTTAAATTTAAATTAGAAAAAAAGGTTGCTTCACATGTCAATCGTAGGTCCCTCTCCCTTTCCCTCCCCTCCTCCCACACCCTCCCACCAACACCTGCAATATCACCTTATTTCCCCAGGGAGGGTGAGGCCCTCGATGGGGGTGTCCATGATCTGTCATTTTATCCAGGGCAGGGCCTACACCCTCCCCCAAGAGTCCAGGGTGAGAGTGCATCTCTCATTGTTGGATGGTGTAGGAAGAAGTCTGATGCAGTCATTAAACATGTGACTTATTAGAGGCGCATACAGATGAGGTAATAAAAGGGCGGTTTACCACACCGCTAACCACACCCACTTTAGGCAGGACTAAAGACGTATACGGCTGGACGTAAAGACATACACGTACGTAGGCGGAACTACGTCACTAGCCAGGCCCACTTTTGGGCATGGCTAGGGGCGTTACGGGGGGAAGGCATAAAAGACAGCACACAGGAAGTCTTGGTCTCTTTTCCTGGAGTTCGGCTTCCGGTCCGGCAGCTAGCTGAGAACTGCTTGGCTCCTCTGGGTTTGGTATCTTGTGAGTAATTTTCTACATTAAATACTTAGCTTTACTGTCAGTAATTGTGTGCCGCGTATCGTTACAGTGTCCATTGAAGCCTACAGGATGGGAACCCAAAGTCCATTTGTATACCAAGGATAAATACTGATCTACTACCCAAGGCTCAATAGATTATCTTGGCTTCCTCACTGACACCCAAATTCAGAGGATTTTGAACAGTCCCATGCTGGATTCCCTGCTATCAGTCTGGGATTCAAGAGCTGATCATTGTCAGGTCAGCTGTTTCTGGGGGTTAAACCAGCCCAGTCTTAATGCCTTTGCTCATCAGTCCTCACTGTCTGTCACTGGATTCCTTGAGTTCAGCTCAGTGTTTAGCTGTGGGAGACTGCCTCTGCTTCCATCAGCCATTGAATGAAGGTTCTGTTTAGCATACTCTCTGGCCATGGGATTGTAGCCAGGCACTCCCAAGGTCTATGTCTAAAATCCATATGAGAGAGTACAAGCCATGTTTGTCTTTTTGTGACTGGGTTATCTCACTCAGGATGGTTTCTTCCAGTGCCATCCATTTGCCTGCAAATCTCAGCATTCCATAGTTTTTTCCTGCTGAATAGTACTCCATTGTGTAAATGTAAAACATTTTCTCTATCTACTCTTCTGTGAAGGGGCATCTAGGTTACTTCCAAGTTCTGGCTATTACAAATATTGCTACTATGAACATAGGGGAACAGATGTCCTTGTTGGATGAATTTGCATCTTTTGGGTATATGCCTAAGAGTGGAGTTGCTGGGTCTTGTGGTAGGTTTATTCCCATATTTCTGAGTATTCTCCATACTGTTTTCCAAAGTGGATGTACACGTTGGCACTCCCGCCAGCAATGGAGGAGTGTTCCCCTTTCACCACAACCTCTCCAGCATAAATTGTCGTTGGTGTTTTTGATTTTAGCCATTCTGACATGAGTAAGATGGTATCTCAGAGTTGTTTTGAATTGCACTTCCTGGATGGCTAAGGATGATGAGCACTTTTTCAAGATGACTCTCAGCCATACTACATTCCTTCATTGAGGATTGTTTATTTAGTTCTGTAGCCCACTTTTTGATCCTTTGGTATTTTGGAGACTTGCTTCTTGAGTTCTTTTTAAATTTGGAGATTAACCCTCTGTCAGATGTGGGGTTAGTGAATATGTTTTCCCATTCTGTGAGCTATCTTTTTGTCTTGCTGACTGTGTTCTTTTTCTTTCAGAAGCTTTGCAATTTCAGGAGGTTCCTTGTATTCATTGTTGACCTCACTTTATGTGCTACTAGTGTTATGTCCAGGAAGCTGTCTCCTGTACCAATTTGTTCAAGGGTGCCACCCACTTTCTCTTCTAAGAGGTTTAGTGTAGCTGGAGTTATGTTGAGGTCTTTAATCAATTTGGAATTAAGTTTTGGGCATGGCGATACACATGTATCTATCCACATTCTTTTACATGCCAGCATCCAGATATGCCAGCACCATTCGTTGAAGATGCTTTCTTTTCCATTGTATATTTTTAGCTTCATTGTCAAAGATCAGATATTCATACATGTATGGGTTAATATGAGTATGTTCAGTTCAATTCCATTGGTCTACCTGTCTACTTTTGTGCCAATACCAAACTGTTTTCAGGACTACAGCTCTATAATAGAGCTTGAGTTCAGGGATGGTGATGCCTCCAGATGTTGCTTTGTTGAGTAAGGTTTTTTGGCTATCCTGGGTCTTTGTTTTTCTATACAAAACTGATTATTGTTCTTTCATGTTCTGTGAAGAATTGTGCTGGTATTTTAATGGAGATTGCATTGAATCTGTAGATTGCTTTTTCAGGATTGCCATTTTTACTACATTGATCCTACCTATTCAAGAGCATGGGAGATCTTTCCATTTTCTGAGGGCTTCTTTAATTTCTTTCTTTAAAAACTCAAAGTTATTGGGATACAGGACTTTCACTTGTTTGGTTAGCATTACCCCAAGGTATTTTATGTTGTTTCTGGCAATTGTAAAGGGTGATGTTTCTCTGATTTCTTTCTCAGCCCTTTTATTGTCTGTATTAAGTACAGCTACTGATTTTCTTGAGTTGATCTTGTAGCCTGCCACTCTACTGAAGGTGTTAATAAGGTGTAAATGTTCCCTGGAAGATTTGTGTAAACTATCATATCATCTGCAAATAGTGAAAGTTTGTAATCTTCCTTTCCAATTTATATCCCCTTCATCTCCTTTTGTTGTCTTATTGCTCTAGCTAGAACGTACAGTACAATACTGAAAAGATATGGAGAGAGTGGACAGCCTTGCTTGTTCCTGATTTTTTCACAGAATTGCGTTGAGTTTCTGTCTATATAGTTTGATGTTGGCTGTTGGTTTGCTGTATATAGCTTTCATTATGTTTAGGTATGTTCCTGTTATTCCAGATCTGTCTAGGTCTTTCATCATGAAGGGATGTTGGAATTTGTCAAAGGCTTTTTCTGCATCTAGTGAGATGATCATGTGATTTTTGTTTTTCAGCTTGTTTACATGGTGGATTACATTGCGGGATTTTCATATGTTGAACTATCCCTGCATCCCTGGGATGAAACCTACTTGATCGTAGTGAATGATTGTTTTGATGTTTTCTTGGATCCGATTTGTCAGTGTTTTATTGAGTATTTTTGCATCAATGTTCATGAGGGATATTGGTCTGAAGTTCTTTTTCTTAGTTTTGTCTTTCTGTGGCTTGGGGATCAAGGTTGTTGAAGCCTCAAAGAAAGAGTTTGGCAAAGACCCGTCTGCTTCTATTGCATGGAATACTTTGAGAAGTATTGTTATGAGCTTCTCTTTGAATATCTGGAACAATTCTGCACTGAGGACATCTCCACCTGGGATTTTTTTTTGGTTAGGAGACCTTTGATGACTGCTCCTATTTCCATAGGGGTTATAGGTCTATTTAAACTGCTTATCTGTTCTTGATTTAATTTTGTCAAATGATAGCTATCCTGAAAATTGTCCATTTCCTTTACATTTTCGAATTTTGTAGAGTACAGGTTTTCAAAGTATGACCTTATGATTCTCTGAATTTCCTCAGAGTCCATTGTGATGTCCCCTTTTTCTTTTCTGATTTTGTTAATTTGCATGTTCTCTCTCTGCTGTTTGGTAAGTTTGGACAAAGGTTTGTCTATCTTGTTGATGTTCTCAAAGAACCAACTCTTCGTTGTATTGATTCTTTGTATTGTTTTCCTAGTTTCTACTTTATTTATTTCAGCTCTCAGATTAAATATTTCCTGGCATCTCCTCCTCCTGGGGGAGTTTGCTTCTTTGTGTTCTAGAGATTTCAGCTATGCTGTAAATTCTCTTGTATGACTATTCTCCAGTTTCTATATGTGGGCACTTAGTGCTATGAATTTCCCTCGTAGCACTGTTTTCAAAGTGTCTCATAGGTTTGAGTATGTGTGGCTTAATTCTCATTGAATTCTAGGAAATCTTTAATTTCATTTTTTATTTATTCTTTGACCCAAGAATGGTGCAGTTGTGCATTATTCAATTTCCTTGTGTTTGTAGGGGTTCTGCAATTTGTGTTGTTGTTGAATTCTAATTTTAATTCATGGTGGTCTGATAAGATGCATGGAGTTATTCCAACTTTTTGTACACACTGAGGTTTGATATTTTGCAAAGTCCATGGTTGATTTTTGAGAAGGTTCCATGTTGTGGTGAGAAGAAGGTGTATTCTTTTTTATGTGGATGGAATGTTCTATAGATGTCTGTTACTCCCAATTGGGTCATAACTTCTATTAGACCGTTTGCTTCTTTGTTAAGTTTCTGTCTGGTATTCTAGTCTAGTGGTGAGAGTGGGGTGTTGAAGTCTCCCACTATAAGTGTGTGGGGCTTTATATGTGACTTGAGTTTTAGCAATGTTTATTTATGAACCTGGATGCCTTTGTATTTGGGGTATAGATGTTCAGAACTGAAACTTCATCTTGGTAGATTTCTCCTGTGATGTGTATATAATGACCTCATTCATCTCTTTTGATTGATTTTATTTTAAAGTCTAATTAGTCAGATATTAGGCTTGCTAACCCCACTTGTTTCTTGGGTCCATTTCATTGGAAAATCTTTTCCCAACATTTCACTCTGAGGTAATGTCAGTCTTTGACAATGAGGTGTGTTTCTTGTATGCAGCATAAGGATGGGTTTTGTCTTTGAATCCATTCTGTTACCTTGTGTCTTTTTATGGGTCAATGAAGGCCATTAATATTGAGGGATATTAATGACCATTGACTGCTCATTCTCCTTTGATTTTGAATGGTTGGTGATGGTGGAATTACGTGTGGAATTCCGGCCCTTTTTCCTTTTGGCTGTTGATAAAGTGGGATTATCTAATGCCTATGTTTTTCTGGTTGTAGTCAACTTCCTTGGGTTGGAGTTTGCCTTCCAGAACTTTCTGTAGGGCTGGGTTAGTAGATATGTCTTGCTTGAATCTAGTTTTGTCATGGAATATCTTGTTTTCTCC